TGGGGGCGGCGGGAGGCTCCGTGGCCGGCCCCGGGTTGAAGTTGGTAACTGAGCGGCAACTCCCGCGGGCGCGGAGTGACAGCTTGTGACGGCCTCCGAGACGCCAGCTGCCCCTTCTCCGGTGTGTGGCTTCGACTTCCTGATTCTCCCACGACGTCCCTGGCCGTGAGACCCGCTGGACTCTGCGGCTGGCCAAAAGGGGAGGGGGAGCCCCGCGTCTCGGGGGCCCCCAGCAGGGGAAGGGGCGGGGGTTGCGCTGGGCATCGTGTCTGGGGCATCTGTCTGGGACTCTGTCGGTGCCTCTCACCTGGCGAGGGGCTTGTGGAGGGGGTAGGGGGGAAGTCCCTGGCGCCAGGCTTGGCCAAGCCCCGCTCTGCTGGGCTGCGGGCTGGCGGCGCTCACCCAGCTCCTCACCTGCCCCGCATCTTCCTGTTTTTCTTCCCATTCTGGTTGGGCAGCGAGAGTTGAGAGGAGGCAGATGGCTTCCAGCCCAGAAATCGCTCTCCTCTTTCCATTCCCACAGAGAGGGACAGAGAGGCAAAGTTCCTCGCATCCCCCGGGGCGCCGTCCCCGTGAGCGCCCCGTGTCCCGCACACGTGGGCCCCTGAGTCACCCGGCCTGTGTGTGTGGGATGGGGCTCCGTGGCCAGCCTGGCCTCCTGGGGTTCACTTTCTGCTTTCCTACCCCCAACTCTTTCTGTGTGGCTTTGCTGGCCTTCCGCTGGGGAGGCACATGGGTTTGGAGGGGAGACGAGGGCCCCCTGGAGAGCTGTACCCCTCAGTGAGGGCTGCCACCTTGATGGTTTTTGATGGATAATGGGGTTGACCTCTTTGTTCCTTGCAAATGTTTTTATGTTTGACCATTTGCTCAGCTGGGCTTGTCTTAATAATTTGATTCGTGGTTAATGAGCCCCACATGGGAGAGAGGGCGGCCTTCAATTCTGAACCCATTTAGGCAGCACGGGCAGCCCTCCTCGCCGTCGGCTGCATCAGAGTCCCCCTGCTCAGGCTTGGAGATGCTGCCGGATGCTGTCTGGGAGGCTTGGTCATGGTGACATCCTTATCTCCCCGTGCACGTTACTGCATTCAGAGCTTAGGTCACCTGGACACTGAACTCAGGTGAATTTTGTTTGAGATCCCCGGAGAAGGACAGTTCTCTGGAAGGTTTTCCAGGACCCATCACGGAAAGGATGAGAAGGGAGAGGTCCTGGTCCGGGACACAGTTACAATGGTAGTGTAACACTGGGAAACTTTATTGCGTGAAGTCCTTGTCACTCCCTCTACCTCCCTCTTTTACGTGGACTCTGCCAAAGACCAGGATATTAGAATGCAGTGAAGTGACCGAGTGTAGTGGAACCTTGGGAACATTAGTCTGGAGCCAGGCGGCTGGGGTTTGCATCCTGGTTTTGCCCCTCCTTAGCTGGCTGACATGGCACAAGTCACGTACCCTCTCTGAGCCTTACTGTCTTCAGTGGCAAATGAATCTGTCAACAGGCCCCATTCCATGGGGCTGTTACTGCTGAAATTAAAGGAAGCTCGTCTATAGAAAGCACTTAACATTGTGCCTGGCACATGGCGTCTGGTGGATAAATGGGACTTAGGACTGAAACTCATGCCTTGGTGTGTTTTTGCAGTGATGTTTTGTTCTGGGGTGCATCACAAGAGACAAGGTTCTTGGCTGGGCGTGGTGGCTCAAGCCAGTAATCCTAGCACTTTGAGAGGCCGAGTGGGGAGGATCGCTTGAGCCCAGGAGTTTGAGACCAGGCTGGGCAACTGGCAAGTGGTGAAGCCTCATCTCTACCAAAAAACCAAACCAAACCAAACAAACAAACAAACAAAAAAACAAACAAAGCCAGGTATGGTGGTGTGTGTCTGTAGTCCCAACTACTGGGGAGGCTGAGGTGGGAGGATTGCTAGAGCCTGGAAGGTCGGGCTGCGGTGAGCTGTGATCGTGCCACTGCACTCCAGCCTGGGTGACAAAGTGAGACCCTGTCTCAAGGAAAAGAGAGAGAGACAGACCCACAAGAGTCTTAAGCCAGAATCTCCATGTTAAAATGCTTTCTGGAGGCTAAAAGGATTATATATTGATAAGGAAATATTTAAAAGGCAGAAACCCCACTGAATTTTTTGGTCTACAAAGGGAAATGGGAATCCCGTGATCTGAAGGATGATGGAGGAACTGAACAGACACCGTCCTTGTTTCCTGAGTCTGAATATGGTACCCTCTTTTCAGGGTGCCTGTATCTGCTCAGTCCGGCGGCCCCTCGAAAAGAGGGAATCTTGAGTTTCAAACTTAAAATTTGGCCCACTGCCCATAATGCTCGCCAGACACATTCCTTTTCCTTTTTAGTTTCTATGGGAATACTCTGTTTGAAGAACCCATGAGGCAGTGTCAGGCTGGTGTGAGGATCAGCAGTGATTTCTTTGAGGAGGAGAGCCCGTTTCTTCACTCCTAGGCCATGTCTGAGTGGATCAAGAAGAACAGAGTGCCCTTTTATGAGATTTGGTCTGCGTAGACCATTAGCTTGGTAAAAATGTCAAAACCATCCTCGTTCTTTCATAGCAGATTATTTTGGACTTTTCTCTGCAAGAAGCAGCATGGGCATTCAGATGCTTTTAAGGATAAAATGTTCTTTCTCATCACCAGGCCTGGCGCTCTGGATGGCTGAGGTTTTAATGTGACTGGGTGTGCCTTGGAGTGGCTCCCAGGCTGTGCTCTTGCGGTTGGGTGGCAAGGGGTTGCTTTATTCGGTGGTGGCTAGAGGGTGTTTTAGCAGGTAAATCGAGACCCCAGGAGCTCCTGAGCGCCCAGGCCTGCTGCAGGGCATCTGTTTATGGTGGAGGGTGAGGGGCGTTGATTCCCTGCCAGTATGAGAAGTTTCACAGTCTTCTTGTGTATCCACAAACGCCCACCCCAGTGAGAAGGCATAGAAACCCTGGCCCTCTCCAAGCCTTTATTGACCCCTTGTAAATAATCCCAGGATGTGTCCGACCCACAGCTCTTCCTGGAAGGACAGAAAAGTCTCTCTTAGGTATTTGGTTATCAACCTCAACCATTCAATCCACCTTCCCCAAGACCAGGCACCTCAGCAGAGATTTCTGGGTTGTCAGGCGGAACCGAGCATTCAAGGGTAATAACTCA